ATAACTCTAGTTATTATTCTTCTTAGGTTACCTCCTCTAATAGGGAAAAGTGAGGGGAAAAATAACCTAAAATATAACTTACTAAACTACTAATTATATAAGGTACTTATATAACTATATATATTATATAATTAATATTATAGTTATAAGTTATAATAAATAGAGTATTTTTATATAAGGTTTAATACCTTAAACTTTATTAGTTTATTTTATATAGATTATTAAAGTAAGTTAAGCGTTATTATTATTCTTATATTATTATTANAAGAATATTATATATTAACACTTACTTATTTAGATTTATAATTAATACTTAAAAAGTATTATTATAAAAGTTATTAAACTACTCTATAGTATTATTAAGGCTAATACCTATTAGTAAGCTATATATAGTTATTACTATAGAGAAGTTTATAAGGGTATAGCTTAGGAGGCTAGGCTAGGGAAGGATAAGAGGGCAGTAACATAGAGGTTAATTGCTATAAACTAGGCAAGTTAGCCTTTCTAGCTACTTATGCGCGCAGCGCCCCTTTTTAGGGCCTAGCTAACTAATCTAGTTAAACCTCAGTAGAGGCTTAATAAGGGCTTAATAAGCTAATACTATAACTAAAATCTTAATTTTCTTATAATTACCCCCCCTCTAGAAGGCTTAGTCTCTAATTCTATTAATCTATAGTAAAAATAATAAAAACTCCTACTTATATGGGGATTTAAACCCTCTATAGTATCTATAATTAGTCTATTTACTTCTGAGGCTTTAGGTCTTATACTTATATATACTCAGCTTTACTAGAGGCCTCCTAAGCATTTAGTAGTCTATTATCTTCTATATAGCTTTAGGTCTTTTACTTATATACTAGTAGGCTAGCTTTATTTTTATATAGTTTTAGGTTTTATACCTATATACTATTAGCTTCACTAGAGGTATTATAAGCTCTTAGTAGTATTTAGGCTACTAGGGATAGTTTATTACCTTCTATATAGCTTTAGGTCTTTTACTTATACACTAGTAAGCTAGGCTAGCTTCTATATAGCTTTAGGTTTTTTACTTATATATTAGTAGCTTTACTTACTATCCCCTAAGTATCTAGTAGCTATATATCTTCTAATATATCTAGCTTATAACTTATCTATTAGTCTAGGATAAGGCTAGTAAAGCTATTTTTATTAACGCCTAAAAGCTATTATATCTATATAGTATTTATATAAGTATAAGCTATAGCTACTAAAAGGTTAGCTTTATATTAGTATACTTCTATAGGGTAGCTCTTCTTATAATATATTTTATACTACTTATTAGTTTAGTAATTAGGCTTATAGTAGTTACTTTTACTATACTTTAGGTAGGCGCTATTTAGTATACTAGAAGCGCTATAGTTAAAATAAAACCTCTTTAGGGCTAGTTTAGTAGTAACTTCTTATATCTATAATACTAAAAGCTTATTAGGTCTCTTATAGTAATTATATTACTTTAGGTTAGTCTCCTATAGTTACTCTATAGTAGTAGCTATAGTATATAGCTACTATATATTAAACTTCTACTATTTAAGAGCTTATTAGAGCTAAAGTAAAAGCTGAAAAAAGAATATATAGGCGTAAGTCTATAACTCTTTAAAGTTAATACTAAAGGCTTAATATATTACTAACTAGTTAGTAAAAAACTAAAGAGGTTACTAATTAGCTTCCTATTAGAGGCTATTAAGTAAGCTATATAACTAATACTCTTAGAACCTAGTATTAATATATTCTTAGCGAATAAATACTAAGAAATTAGCCTATATAAGGTCTTAAGGGCTACTATAACTATTAGGCTTAGTTACTATAAGGCTAACTTAATAGTTATACTACTATATTTATAAGGTAGTAGCTACTCTTATAAGTACCTAATAGATCTTTTAGGCCTTAGAGGTATTAAAATAGAGGGTATTATTATCTCTTATAACTATTAGCTAATTATAGATTTAGACTAGTATACTATCTTTAATAAGGATTCTATAAGTATATACTAATAAGTATTTATATTTATAAACTTAAGCTATTTTAGAAACTTTAGAAGCTAGTATAAAGGTTAGTTAATTAGAGAAAACCTTTATTAGTACGTTATTTTAGTTAGCTTAGTACTAAATAGTTATAATAAGTTTAGTAATTAAAGCTATATTAGTAGCTATAACTAGAGGGGTTTTAGACCTAAAGGCTACTTCTAAAGTAAAATTTTCACTACTTAGTACTATAAAGTTATTAATAATAGCTTAGTAAGATCTTATATTACTACTTATTCTAAAGCTAGCTACCTATAGTAGGTAGAACTTACTTAATTATAAGGGTATAGCCTAAGAAACTAAGCTAGGGAAGGATAAGAGGGTAGTAATATAGGGGTTAATTACTATAAACTAGGTAAGTTAGCCCTTCTAGCTACTTATACGTATAGTGCCCCCTTTTAGGGCCTAGCTAACTAATCTAATTAAACCTCAGTAGAGGCCTAGCGAGGGCCTAGTAAGCTAGCGCTGTAGCTAAAATCCTAATTTTCTCATAAAGTTCTCTAGATAGTTATTTTAAGCTATAATCCCTACCTTTTAGTCCTTTTAATAGTTAACCTTAATTTTGTAGTTATTAGTATATAAACTAATAACACTTTAGGCCTCACTAATATTAGTTTCTTAGTTTATAAGGATAAAGCTTTAACTAAAGCCTTATTTATAGTAAAAGTTAAATAATAACTTACTATTAACTAACTATTAATATTTAATAATAATATTATTAATATTAATAAGTTAGGTATAATTATTCTCTACTAGAAAGGCTAAAGTAAGAAACTTATCCTTATTAATACTAATACTACTCCTAATACTATTAAGAAGTAATATATTAAATAATATATATATATTATATATATTATATTAATCTACTAACTTAAGGTATACTATAATCTATTAACTATTACTTAATACTAAAACCCCTTACTTAATAATATTAAAGCCCTTAATATATAACTATAGTAGTAGATAGATTCACTAGTATAAAGATTAATATTTATACCTATTAACTTATTAACTACTAAACTTTTTATCTTTATTAATAGCTTATTTACTAATAATACTAACCTAATATTATAGCTTAGTTTTACTATTATTCTTACTAATAAGACCTCTTCTAATAAGAATAAGTTTATAATTAATAGTAATATTATCTACTTTAGTTTAATAAAAAATAAGTAAGTTACTTAAAATATACTAGTTTCTAAGGTCTATAGTATAGTTACTAGTATTAATATAACTTATACTATCTCTATAACCCTCTAAATAATTACTAAATAGCTTAATATATTTTTAATACCTACTATTATCTATACTAACTTATACTTACTATATAAATACCTTATTAAGCTAAGTATTATAAAAGAGAAGTATTTAATAATTAATATTATAGCTTTATAGTAGTTATATAAGTACTATAAATTATACGAAATATAATAAATTAATAGTAATAATAACCTTACTAATACTTTTACTAAAGCGAAGCCTAACTAATACCTTATATATTTCCTTAATATAAACTTAGTAATAATATAGATAGAGGGATAGGTTATATAAGCCTAAGTAGTACTAATTATTAGTACTAGCCTAAGGTAGGATTAAGTAATAGTTATAGAGTAACTATTATAGTAAGGGTTATAAGTAATTATTAGGTAATTACTACTTCTCACGTTGCATATTATTTAATGCCTTCTTTTTAAATTATACTATAGTTACTATTAACTATATTAATACTAGTAAAAAGAGAAAATTACTAATATTAGTAACACTAGCCCTAATATAGCGTTAATTAAGCTAGACGCGCGTTATATAATTAGCAATTATATAAAGCGCTACCCTCTGCAATTAACGCTATAATTATAGCTACTACCTCTAATATAATTAACCTTATATATATCACCACTAACGTAGTTAATATAATATAATATTTACTACCTATAGTAACCCTTACTAGCTAGCTAGTCCTATAAGACTAATATTATTACTATCTATTACTACTACCTTAAGAGTAATAATAGCCTCCTTATAATTACTTAAAATAACTAAGATAAAGTATATAGATTTTTACGTATATAACTTAGTCCCTTAGTATAAAACTTAATAGTATATTAAATATACTACTACTTTCTACTAATATACCTTAATAAGATAATATATTTTTAAGCTAAAGTATAGAGATATTTTAAATAAATTAAAATAAAATTTAAGATAAATAAGCTATATAATATTAATTAAATTAAGTATTTTATATTATTAAAGTATAGTACCCTATTAAAGGAACTTAAGGATATATATATAATCACTATAACGTAGTAGTAGTTAATAGAGTAGTTAGATATATAGGGGGTAGTTAGAGTAGGGGGGTCCTCTTATATATCCCTAGTTATATAAGTATTCACAAAAGAATTCTTCACAAAACGCACTAAATTCTTGTATCTTTATTAAAGCTGCTTTGGCTATAATAACTGGTCTGACTCTGAAACCATAGATAGGACACAAACTAATTGAATGATTACCGCCTCGGTCTATTTCCAGTCTCTGAGGTCCTAGTCAGACGTTATCTTAGCTTTGAAATGAGTCTTCCATTGTTCCGACCTCTTCAGTCAAAGCTTTCCTTTTCAACTCACATCGTCTTGCTGCTTATCACGTACCAAGGAACTAACCATCACCGAGCATGAATATCCAATACCGATTTGACTTCTTGCTTATTCGCTCAACTAAACACCTCCTTGTTTGCCTCGTCCACAGCTCTGCGCACCCCCTTGACATTATCCATTACAGTCGGCATATCCGAATGGATGCAAATACTAAAAGCCTTGCCCTTGAAACCGAAACTAAACTTGGTCCCCTCCGAGTCCGCCCCTAAATCCGTCACCATCGCTCTCTTCGCCCTCTCATAGCACCTCTCCGGCGTCGCCGGCTGTGACTTCGCCACGGGCAACAATGCCCCCTCCGGTGAGTAGTCAATATCAACATATACTTCCCCCTGGAACTCGACCCCGAGCTCCGCGCACATCTCCGCCTGCGCCGCGTTCCACGCGCCGTACACGGGTACTTTAAAGGTAGCGCATGCCTCGAGCACAGCACGCATGATAGCCAGATCGCGCTGCATGTAGAAGAAGAGCTCGCCATGCGGCTTGATGTGCGCAAGCGGCACGCCCTGCGCGTCGAGCATCGCCTTGAGGGCGCCGACTTGGTAGAGCACCATGCAGTACATGTCCTTGGGGTCGATTTCCATCTTGCGACGGCCGAAGCCGAGGAGGTCGGCGAGGCCTGGGTGCGCGCCGGCCTTGACGCCGTGTTGCTTGCAAAGGGAAATGGTCTTGTGCATGATGGATGGGTCGCCGGCGTGGAAGCCGCATGCGATGTTAGCGGCGTCGATGTAGGGCATCAGCTCCTCGTCGGGGCCCTTTCATGGAGGTGAGTGAGGGATTGTGTCAGCAAAAGGGAAGGATTTCTTACCATCTTCCAACGGCCGAAGCCTTCGCCCATGTCGGCGTTGATCTCAAACTTTGAGGCTAAGCCTGACGCCATTTTGACTCTGAAAGAGAATGTATTTGATGATAGTGGTATGGATGATGGTTGAGGCTGTCTCTCCTAGTTTTGTGGAATCACCTTCCGCGGGAAATTCGGATCGTGGTCCACCGATGATCTCGGAAAGTGATGGTGTTGAAACTTGCGTTGGGGTAGGACGTTGCCGATCGACTTTGGGGTAAGTATCTCCAATCAAGGCGTCCCACTTGGGGTAGACGATACCGCAGAGAGGGGCCGTTCCGCTGCGCCGAGCCACTGATAGTGCACCCGGGGCCTAGAGTCTGGGGTTCCAGTGGCAGTGTCTATCAATTCCCTTGGACGTTCCTTTGCTATGATTCGTACGAAGTAGAGATGGTGATCCGATGTTGACGACAGATGCGGGGTTCTTATCTTGATAACCAGTGAGGGGGTCTCTCCGTCGATAACAACGGTGTTGAGTGAGCACTTGTTCTTCAGGGACGCTTTGATTTGGACCGTTTTCTTACCGAAAGTGTTACTAGTTAATTTTAAGCTCCGAATATCCGGGTCACAAGGCCCAGAGAACACCTAGATGCAGGGACAAGATAAGAGTATGGGGTAACAACCCCCATCCATCAATCTCCCTATGCCACACAGTACGACGGGGAGCAGTCTGATAATGTTTATGCTTGAGAACTTGGTAGCGTGATTGTTCCTACTTATCCGAACTTTGAGGGTTCTCTTGAAGTGTGGGGTAAGGATTGTTGATCACCCCGACTACATAACTTGCCTGAAACTCCCGGCATCTCGGGGATTTGCATCGTGATCGCTATTGGTATTTTTTTCCATTTCCCCTCGCTCAGATATCGCCATGACTAGCTCATTAAAAGCCATCAAGAAGGTATTGGTCGCCAATCGTGGCGAAATCGCGGTTCGATGCATCAAAGCATGCAGAGAACTCGGCGTCAAAACGGTGGCTATTTACACTGATGCCGATGCATCATCCTTACATATTGTGTCGGCAGATGAAGCTGTGTTGTTGCCTGGCAGTGACCGTACTGCATACACCGATGGGTAAATCCAGCTCACTTCCAACACTATGTGGCCACTCCTCTGATGGTGAGACTGTAGAGATGCGATCATCAACATCGCCAGAACCCACAACGCAGACGCCATCATCCCAGGCTATGGCTTCCTCAGCGAAAACGCAGACTTCGCCGCCGCTGCTGAAGCAGCCGGCATCATCTTCGTTGGCCCTTCGGTAACATCAATCAGGGCTATGGGCCTTAAGCACGAGGCCAGGGAAATCGCCCACCAAGCTGGCGTCCCTACGGTCCCAGGCACGACTCTCCTTTCTTCAGCAGCCGAAGCCCGCGAGAACGCCACACGCCTCAGGTTTCCCGTCATGCTCAAGGCCACCGGTGGCGGCGGCGGCATGGGTCTGCAGATCTGCCAGGATGAAGCGGAGGTAGAGAAGGCGTTCGAAACGGTCGTCAGCCGAGCGGGCACTTTGTTCAAGAACAGCGGTGTGTTTCTTGAGAAATACTATCCACGCTCACGCCACATTGAGGTGCAGGTCGCTGGAAATAGCGAAGCGGTCGTGTCCTTCGGCGAAAGGGAATGTTCCCTCCAACGGCGCCACCAAAAGGTCATCGAGGAGTGTCCGAGTCCGTTTGTCGATGCGACGCTGCGCAGGAAGCTCTGCCAGTCAGCCATAGACTACGCGTCGCAGTTGAACTACAAGAGTGTCGGCACCGTAGAGTTTCTGGTGGATGATGAGACGGCAGAGTACTTCTTCCTGGAGATGAACACTAGACTGCAAGTCGAACACGGCATCACGGAGCTGTGTTACGGGGTTGACCTCGTGCATTTGATGCTTCGACAGGCGGACTGCGAAAAGGCAGGGCTAGGCGGCATCCCAACGGCAGAATTGAGGTCGCTTGGGCGAGAGCAGCCCCTGGGCAGCGCGATCGAGGTTCGTGTGTATGCGGAAGACGCGCTCAACGACTTTGCCCCGCGACCTGGGCTTTTGCAGAGTGTGCGATGGCCTGAAAGTGAGGGCGATGAGGGGGTTCGTGTTGATACGTGGGTCAAGGGCGGTCAGCGCATCACGCCGTATTACGATCCGTTGGTCGGGAAGATTATGGTCCACGACGACCAGGGTAGAGAGCAGGCACGACAGAAAATGATTCGAGTGCTGAAGGGAACAACTCTTCAGGGCACGCAGACGAACCTCCAATACCTCACCAAGGTCCTCCAGTCGGAGGCATTCATTCAGGGGAACACACTGACCACCTTCTTGAACGACTTCGTCTTCGAAGCATGCGCAATTCAAGTCCTAGAACCCGGCATGATGACAATCATCCAAGATTACCCTGGACGCGTGTCCGTCCGGCATGGCGTCCCGAGGAGCGGGCCCATGGATACCCTTAGCAGCCAGATCGCCAACGTGCTGGTCAAGAATGAGCCAGGGACAGAGTTGTTGGAGGTTACTTTGACAGGCCCGACGCTGCGCTTCTACGTCGATGCTGTCGTGGCGGTATGTGGCGGTTCTGTTCCTGTGACGGTGGACGATATGGATCAGCCCATGTGGTCTAGATTCGTCGTTCGTCGTGGCCAGGTCCTAAAGCTCGGCCAGCTGGGTGGAAGCGGTTTCAGAGCATACATTGCCATCAAAGGAGGTTTTCCCGGGATTCCTTTGTTTCTCGGGTCGAAGTCTACGGCTCCAGAACTTGGCTACGGCGGGTTGGAAGGCCGCAAACTGCAGATGCATGACGTGTTGGATCTGGCGGAGCAGTCGGCTCAGTGGGCCGCCGAGGCAACATTATTTCAACTTCCAAGCGAAGCTGTTCCCAACCTCGATATTAGGCAGGTGTGGTGTATGGAAGGACCGTACGGTGACAACGACATCCTCACACCCGCTGGACGAGCTGCGTTGTATGAGGCTGTCTGGAAAGTGAATCACAACAGCGGTCGCAGTGGTGTTCGACTAGCAGGACCGCAACTTGAATGGGCGCGCTCGTCCGGAGGTGGAGGAGGATCTCATCCATCCAACGTCTTTGACTATGGATATCCTGTTGGCGGAGTCAATTGGACTGGCGACTTCCCTGTCATTTTCTCAGTCGACAGCCCCGATGCTGGAGGTTTTGCCTGTCCGTTGACCATCTGCTCGGCGGACTTTTGGAAGCTTGGACAGCTGAAGCCTGGGGATGAGATTCGGTTCACACCGACCACATTTGAGTCTGCCATGGCCATGCTGAAGTATCAGGACGAGTATGTTGCTTCCGTGGCTACTTGTTCCTATGTGAGTCAAGTCACAGCACCAATCCCGCCTCGGTATGTGGAAGGATATAGCCAAGCTTCTTCAGGGTCGCCAACACTACGAGAAACTCCTGCGACAGACTCTGATCCTAAAACAACCTACCGACAAGGAGGCGACTCTTCTATTATCGTGGAGTTCGGGACTCAGGTCGCCGACTTGCGCAATACCATCTGCGTCAGACTATTGGCCAAGCAACTTGAGGAACGCCAGTTGGATGGCGTAAGCTGGACTCCGAGCATCGCAACTCTGACCGTCCATTCCAACCCCAAGAAGATACCACAAACCGAATTGCTAAATATTCTGTCGGAGCTGCCGTGCGGACTCAGCCAGTCGAGCAATCAGATGCCAGTGCGAGAGATCCAACTACCCATCTGCCTCGACCACTCAGCCATTGCGGAGGCTGTCCAGCGTTACATGTACAACATCAGAAAAGAAGCCTCTTACCTGCCGGATAACGTGGAGTACATTCGGGAAAACAACGCGCTTTCTTCCCGGCAAGCCGTTTTCGACGCGTTTCTGAACACTCCCTGGCTCACAGTAGCCGTTGGCTTCTACGTCGGCACCCCATTCCTCTTCCCCCTTGATCCCAAGTACGTGTACGTGGGACAAAAGTACAACCCCAGCCGTGTCTTCACTCCAAGCGGGTCAGTCGGTCTAGGCGGTTCTCTTATCGCCATCTATCCCGTCGCGGCGCCGGGAGGTTACCAGCTTATTGGGCGCACCATCGGCTGCTGGGATGAGACAGGTAACCGGCCCTGTTTCGAGCCTTCCAAGCCCTGGCTGTTCCGTCATTTTGATCTGGTCAGGTTTGTGGAGGTTGGGGAGGAAGAATACGACAAGCTGAAGCACGACTATGATATCGGGCAGTACGAGTTTACCATCAGTGAGACTACGATCAACATGGACCATTTCATCGCCAAGTTCGACGCTGCAAATCAGGATCCAGCTCATTTGGAGTGGACAAAGCGGCAGTCTGAAGCCAGCCAAGAACTTGCTCGGCGGGAGACGGAACTCTTTGACGAGTGGCATGCGGCTACGACAGCTTCGACCAACGGGGCTGCGGCGGCTGGTGGGGAGCTGGAGGAGCATTCGGGTTCGAACGTTCTTCGGATCAAGTCTCCTGTAAGCGCGAGTGTTTGGAAAGTGGAAGTTGGAGTGGGCGATGTATTGAAGAGCGGACAGACAGTAGCTGTGTTGGAGGCGATGAAGATGGAGATCAAGGTTATCTGCGGGAAGGATGAAGATGGAATGGTTGTGAAGAGCATCGTGAGTCCGGCGGGCACGATTGTCAACCCTGGGACTGTAATAATGGCCGGTTTAGCAACTTAATCTTCGTCGGACGATTTCTTAGCCAGACTGGCCAGCGTTCCGCCAAGCTTGAAGCCGGTTTTTCAAGCTACACCCCTAGCGCCACGGCTATTCCCGGGTTTTATGGCACGCTGTTTCGTACAACTCAATTCACGAACCAGTATTACGTGTTGCATTCTCGTTTTGAACCATGGCTGAGATGATCTGCAGTCTACGCATTCGCGACCTAGACAAAACACGAAAACTGTCGTTGTCACAGATCAGATGGGTAATGCGGTGCTACCAGACTTTGTGATATCGGTGCGCCTCGATAAAGTTGGATTTAGAAAGAACAACTCACAAGATTTCTCGAACAAAACCCACAAGCTGTTTAGCCACGTGGTCTCGATTGGCTTGAAGTCTCCGAGTCCGA